TCAGAGTCTATATCTCATATTCCTTGTCTCTCGGTACCTTCTCTTATTCTTGTGGTTGCCTTGCTCTCGCTGAGTTCGGGGTTTTCCAACATGATTGTCTGCAACAGCATGTGTTTGTCTGTTTGTTTGGCTGGCATCTGTCCTGTGAATTCCCAAGCCATGTGTCCAGACAAGTCGGGTGCTTCCCTGGGGAAATGAAAAAGAGGAGAAGCAGTAAAGAAAAGAGGGAGAAGGAGGTGGAGCAGCGCAGACGCAAAGGTGGTGGCCAGAGTCATGGTTATGTTATCCATGCAAGTGAATGCCGATGACACACACAGTGAGAATCCAATGAGAAAGAGGGGGAAGCAGGGAGGAGGTAGCTGTCATCACTAATGGAGTGATGCCATAAATGCAATTGGATAATCGTGATATCCCTCCTTCCCTCTTTCTCCTCCTCCTCCGCCTGCTCCTACCACCACTCTCCAGTTATAGTCATCAGCGTGTTATACCCACTGGTAGTATTGGTATCCTTTCTGTCCCCCTCCACCCTCCTCCCACTCCTCCTCTTCCTCCTCTTCCTCCTCCTACCACCACTCTACTACCTCCTCCTTCCCTTCCTGTTTCCTTTTCATTGTCATCTAGCTGGTGATGGTGAGGTATTTGTCATGTTGCATCAAAGGTGATACTACCTCCTCCTTCCTTTCATGTTAACCGCAGCCTATATCTTCCCTAACCTTAGTGTTACCATCTGCGGAAATCAACAGAGCAGACAAACTGATCTTAGCACCGTTGATCCTGGAAGTCTCTCTATCCATACCCCCTCTCCCCCCATGCACCCTCTCTCCCTCCCTCCCTCCTTCCCCTGCCACACCCATTCCCCTTCCATGCCCCGTAACTGTTGCAACTCGAATTAGACCAGTGTTCGTACTGGTATTTCTACATAATCATGCTTGCACTCACTGTATGAGTGTCAAAGTAAAAAGGGGAGTTGACGAGGAGAAGGAGACGCGGTAGGGCTTTTGTTTTCTTTTGTTTGAAGCTGCAACAAGCAAGAGGACAGAAGAATGAACCCGTTATGAAGGACACATGGAGTGTTATTCATTTGCGGGGATACCCAGGGAAGAAATGCACCTAGGAATGCTTATGACGGTTAGAGCTTGCAAGGAAACTGATAAAATGAGGTTTTTCAAAAGCTGACAAACTGTGTTTGCAACTTTGTATACGTGGGGATGATTTAACTTTCCGCTTGGTTCTTTGGCGTGCTTCGTGTGCATATCGGATTTTATGCAGGTAATCTTTGAGCTAGATATAGCACCAAAAGAGCTGGTGGTGGAGTTTACAGACGAACCAGACTTTACTTGCGGCCATCGAAGTCTGCTTAGAGCTAAAGCTAGAGAATCTAGCGACCAGACTGCAGATGTGACCATTTGATGCCGAAAGCCTCGTTTTCTCTCTTCGATAGTGATTGTACTATATTTGCTCTGAAGAACTTAACAGAGTTCATACACATCTAGTTCTTGATTGAACCATTTTTCAATCTGATAATATCTGATGGCATTTTTTGAATTTGTATTTTACTTCATCTCTCCTCACTTTTTTATCCGAGTCCATAATTTTCAACCGGACAATGATGATATTTATGTTACAAGGTAGTTTAAGTTAACCAAGAGTTGTGAACTGAATCAGTCACTGCTGGGGGCTTTGTACTTCCAGCCAGCGATGGTTTGAACTTCAAGGCTCTATTCAAACCATCCATCATTTGTGGGGGTTGACAACTTTATGTTTGTCACTTTGACAGTGGTCGAACGTGGTGCTCTTGGTATACATAGGAGTCAGCACCTCATGTTATCTTTTTGGCGTACGTTCGGTTGTGGCGCAAACAAGTTTGGAAAGGGCAACGAAATCACACACGGGGAACAAACTCGCACGCCAAGTTTGGAAGGGAAACAAAAGCATTTTTACCCAGGCGCCGAGTTTGAAAAGGGCAACAAAATCACACGCGGGCCACAGCCAATTGCCCTTTTCAAACTCTGCACCCGACGTTGTTGCCCACACGTGTTTCTTTTGCCCTTTGGAAACCTAAAGTGTGACACTGCCGGACTTGTTTCTGCAAGGAAAATGAGCAACGGCATGACAGGATTCCAGATTGCAAAATCACATTGAAACCCAGTTTAAAATGAACCAAGTACTCGTCAAGCTCATCCTTGCATACATAAATGAACATGCACATGAGAAATCACACGTGAGAAGCCAAATCGAGATACAACCAACACTTGAAGCTGCTGTCTTCAATATTATTGTCAATATACAAGAAATGTTTGTCACCAGTGGCTATGCCGCACACACATCCAACAACGGATCTCAGCCAGGTAGCGACTATGCCTTCTCTCTCTCTATCTCTCCCTCTCTGTCTGCCTCGCGTCTCTCTCTGACTTGGTCCGCTCTGACTTGGTCCGCTCTGCCTCACTCTCCCTCTTCTCTCTATTCTTCTAACTCTGGATCGTCACCCTGGATACACCCACTTAGGTAAGTAGTACACCCTGGCAGCTATGGCCGCCGTCTTCTTCCTCTAGCTCTAGCCTAGCTATGGAGTCACCTGCATGCACCCCCTTCCTCTTCGGGCACCACTCCCAGGTTGCCTTAATGCACAAGCAGCAGCAGCACTTCCGCATCTCGCAACTGAACAAGTGATGAAACGCCGCGCTGTAGCAGTTATATATAGGTGTTATGATCCTGGCCAATTTCGAGATACACATTCATCAGATAATACAATGCTGTCCAATTGCAGAAAGAAATGAATGAACTTGAGAGGAGAGAGAAGGTTAGAAGAAGAAGAAGAAGAAGTAAGAAAGAAGAAGAAGATGATGTACACCAGCATAGACAAATGATACAACCCCTTCACTTTGTGTAGCTCCTTGTCCCACGTGTTCTGACCGGGAACAATTAACGCACGAAGTAGTTGAATGCCAGTTTGGTTGATTTCCTCGGCCAACACATTGGCTTCGGGGTGTCGACCAGAAGTCATGTTGAGTTTAATGTTGTAGATTTGAGAGGTGAAGTCCTTCCAATCTTGACTAATGAACCTAGTGTCCCGATCACTCACAAGAGTTTTCGGGTGGCCACACTGTAGAATGTACTGCTGATGGAATTCTTCGATCACAAGCTCAGTCGGGGCATGAGGAGGTAAAGGAATCAAATTCAGAAATTTGGAGAAACGATACACGATGACCATGACTTGTGAATTCCCTCTCTCACTCACTTTTCCCATATCTGTAAAATCGATGGAAACCGACTCACCGGGTCCATCAGGAATAGGGAGGGGTTTTAGCAGGCCATAAGGCTTATACCTATTGACCTTGATTCTCTGACAGACTTGACATTCAACAATAAAATTTTGAGCAGATCCCTTCATTCTCGGCCAATCAAACTGCTGAAAAAGACTTCCATAAGTCTTCTCAACGCCGAAGTGTCCACTCCTACCATGTGTAAAAAAATCCAAGAAATAAGTTCGGAGAGGCGCATGGTTGGGTATACACAAACGATCAAACTTCCCATACCGGCTTAATACAAGACCATCGCACTCGTGAAAATCAGGCTGAGTGTTAGGCTCAGCCTTGAGCTGCTCAAGGATGGGACTAAGGTTCGGATCCTTGGCGGTGTGTTCGACCAGATCCTCCTTCAGTTTCCTTCGGAGGTCATATGAGCTCACAAGGCAAGTCAAAAACTCAGGATGACGCGACAAAGCATCAGCAACACGATTATAACAGCCTTTCTTGTGTTTCTGTTCAAAATTGTAAACATCAATGTCATGCAACCAGCGGGTCAGCGTCAGAGAGAGATCAATTTGCGTTTTAATCCACAAAAGGTAGTGCTTCCAATGTGTGAGTGCCTCTCACAAGGCATAGAGTTCACGCATGTATGTGGAGGTAGCTACCTTGTGGCTGGGCATGCGTTTGCTGTAATACTCGAGCGGACGCAGACCATCGTCATCATCTTGTTGCAGCGTTGCACCAATCCCATACTGGCGCGTCCGTAATGACTACGAACGTGAGGTTGAAATCCGCAATGCAGAGCACAGGATGACTTACCAAAGCCTCTTTCAAGGCTAGAAAACGCAATCTCGCATTTTTCACACCACGCATAAGCAACATTTTTGCTTGTTAGTCTCGAGAGTGGGTGAGCAATGATAGAAATTTTTTGCACAAACTTTCGGTAATACGAAGCTAAATCAAAAAAAGAACGCAGTTCGCGTACGTTCGCCGGTTGAGGCCACTTTCGTATAACCTCAACCTTGGTTGCCTCCGGCTCAAGGCCGCCTGCAGACAACCGGTGGCGAAGATAGATGACGTTGTCTCTTCCAAACTCATATTTCTCTAAGTTGAGGTGCAGTTGTGCCTCCTTGAGGACTTGCAAGACTTCCTCAAGGTGCTTGTCGTGCTCTTCCATGGACTTACTGAAAATCAGCATGCCGTCAATGTAAACAACAACAAACCTGTTGAGCTGATGGCGGAGAACCTTCTCCATAAGGCACTGAAATGTGACTCGTGCATTTGTAAGAGCAAAGGGCATAACGATGAATTCGTACGGCCCATCGGGTGTTTTGAATGCAGTTTTGTGCTGGTCGTTCGGATCAACTTCAATCTGGTGGTAGCCAGACTTGAGGTCGATCTTGGAGAAAACCTTGCACCCAACTGCAGCATCATCTATGTGAGGCAAGAGATAAGCGTTATTTCTGGTGATACGATTTAGGCAACGATAGTCGATACATATCCGGAGTTTGCCTCCTTTCTTTGGCACAAATAGGATAGGTGCACCGAACTCAGACTCACTAGGCCTAATCCATCCGCGATCAATCATGTCGTCAATTTGTCTCCTCAACTCCTCCAACTCGCCTTGCCCCGTACGGTAGACGCAACCCTTTGGAGGAACACTCTCTTCTATTATCTCGATCTTGTATTTGACCGTACGCTCGGGGACTCCACGAGGTTCATCTAGAACTTCAGGCAATCGATCTAATAGACGGCGAATGTTTGTTGGGACTTCCGGTGGAGGATCATCCTCATCAGGAGAGAGAAAATCATATTGAGAATTTACAGTAATTACAACCGAATTCGAAGTAGTTGGATCAAATGTAGACTGATTTCTTATAGTAGAAGTAGATGGAACAAAAGTAGAGGTTGTAGAAGTAGAATTATTTTCCGAGGTAGAAAATGCAGTACAAGTAGAAGGCACAGAGAGGGGCTTCACAAGGACTACATGCACATCGATTTGCATAATTGGTTTGCACTCAGAAGAGTCACTGGGGATTCGCGCGTCTCATCCAATAGAACGGTATGCTTGTTTCCCTTTGCATCACGCACCAGGAACTGAGTATCCGCCCACGTGGTCCTTACACAATGAGCTTTTAACCAACCCAAGCCAATGACCGTGTAGAAAGGACACATGTCCAAGATGTAGAAGTTCAACTCATGTGTGACAGTGCGATCTTTATCAAAGGTGACGCGCACACCTTTGACAACATGCGTTGAGGTGACAACCTCTTGGTTGCCTACTAGGGTCTGACAAGGAATCTGCGATTCCACTTGCTTCATTCTCAGGGCCGCCTTACGAATCCTGTTAGGAGAAAAGAAGTTAGTCGTTGAACCATTATCAATCAGCACGCGGATGTATCGACGGTTAATGAGCAGCTTAAAGAAGATCGGTTCCACACTCCCTTGAACACGGCGTTGCTGCTTAAACTGCAGCCAATGTTCCAGGTGAGAGTGGAAGTTGACTTCCTTAGTCTCCCCCCAAGGCTCGGTGTAAAGTACTTAGACTGCGACAGCCTTGGATTCAGCATCAGTCCGGGCTTCAAGAGCAGGATGTTGATAAGATTCAGTCTCCTTGGAGGGGCCTGCAGTTGATTGTTCAACTTCCCTTGTTGTAGAGAGTGCTGATAACTCTTCTACGCCCTTTGTCTGTTTCCCTGCAGACGAAAACACTCCTGCACAACGTGCTCAGGCTTTTGACAGTGCAAGCACACGCCCAGTTTGGATTTTCTCTCCCATTCCTTTTGACTAATGCCAAGGGTTTCCCAAGGCTTGGTGGAAGCATTCTCCGGTTTCTTAGGGATCTTTGCATTCTTGGGAAGGTGTGCTATAGTTCCCTTACCTGTACCACGGTTAGGCCCCTTGCTTGAAGCAGTCTTTTTAAAGGCATTACATTTTTCGTCTTCATTGATGTCAGACTCTAGGGTTGATGTAGAACAACCCATATCGGAGTTCGGCTCTAGATCGTCATCTAGAGACAGATCATCCACGTAGGACTGATCTTCAACCTCCCGATGTTCATGCAGGGAGCTGGTTGCTGCTTCCGCACCGCTTGCGTCATAAAGTTTTACCTGCACCGGGTGTCTTCACACGCCTGGCGAGGTCTTTGGCTTCTAGGTTGACTAGATCCGTCAGGAGTTCACGCTAGGTCCAATGGTCCTTGAGTCTTAGCCGGGAGACATAGTCTTCAGGGGCCACTCCCATTACTACATCCATGCAAGACACGCCAGTCCATCCTAGGTTTGGAGTAGTGAACAAACCAGTCAAGTGCATCTCCAAAGCCTAGATGGAAGTCCTCCACTTTTGGCCTTTGAGGGCCTCAAGCTTTAGCCTTGCCTTGAGCGCAACGTGCTTATCTTGATACTGCGCGATGAGGAGATCCTCAAGAGTACGCACAGGAGTTGCTTTCAACCACTCAGTCAGGTCAGTTCTCTCATAACCTGCACTAACAGCTTGGAGTTCTATGAAACTCCGTACAACGGGCTCCGTATTTGTGCCCATGATCAGGCTTCGGTCTTCCTGCGGCGCTCGCCGTACCTTGAAGTATGAGCGCATGGAGTTGATCCAAGGGGTGGTGTCCCCCTTCCCGTCGTACTTGGACGGTAGTGTCGCCGGACCGTTGTATTGTACGCCAGTAAGAACAACGGCGTTTGGGGC